GTTATAAAATCAGGTAATAAAGTAGGAAAGTTATAATGATATCATCTGGGAATGTTTATATTAAGTAAAAGTTTACGCGAAGAGTATCTAACTGTGATATTTAATAAAATAAGAAAAGAATAATCCCGTAGAATAATATTTTATTGTGTGTCACCTAATAAGGTGAAATTACAAGAATTTTTATGCTTCTTTGAGGTTCATAATTTGTATTGATGGTTACGTGAGTCAAGTTTTATAAGTAATAAATTTATATAATTTTTTTTTTTTTTATTTTATTTTATTTTATTAAAACCTCTAACCGTGTTAGTCGGGGATGTTATAATTTATAAAATTTATATATATATTACCTTTTTTTTTTTTTTTTTTTAATCTTGTGCTAATTATATTTCTTTTAATTTCCTTTCATAACTTATATATAGTATAAAATGAATGTTATTTGTAAAGTCGTTCCTTCAGTTCACAGCAAAGATAAAATTAATGTTAATGGGTTTCTAATAAATAAAGATAAGAGTCACAAAAATACGTTCTACTGGTATTGCGAAAAATGGGATACGCTTAAGTGTAATAGGAGAGCTGTAACTCAATTAGAGAATAATCAACATTATCTTAAAGATGCGTCAGATCATAATCATTCAGCTAATGCGAGCAGACTAGAAGTTGTAAAGACAATAGCTAGGATTAAGGAACAAGCACAACAAACACATGATAAGCCAGCCCAGATTATGCAAACAGTGATTGCTGACAGCTCTCAATATGTATATCCATATCTTCCATCAACCAATGCTCTTAGACAAACTATTCAAAGGATTTGTCACCTCGACCTTCCCACAGAACCAGTATCTTTAGAGAGTCTTATTATCCCTGAGTACCTAAGAAAAACTTTAGATAGATCTGACTTCTTAATTAATGATACTACTATTAGTCATAATAGAATGCTTATTTTTACGACTCCTAATAATATTCGTTATCTAAATCAATTCCTGTATTGGATCATGGATAGGACCTTTAAAACTGTTCCCATTATATTCAAGCAATTATATACTATTCACAGTGTGTTTTTTTAAATTAATAATAATAAAAAATAATTTAATTTAATTTAATAAAAAAAAATTAAATTAATAAAATTA